ATCCTTTTTCCTCAGTCCAAAGCATTTTATGATTTTGTCCTTTATGGCAACAGAAGCCTACACTTTGCTTGGCGCGCTGAAGATAACTGCTGTGCTGGAAGAGGGCTGTTTATCCACACACATAGGCAGCAGACGCTGAAATCAGAACCCAATGGGTTTCTTGTCAGCACATGATGCTCCGAGTACAACTCCACGGTGAGACCGGTTGCGCTTTTCCTCCGGAGAAAACAAAAGAAGGAAAAAAAAGAACCGCAACAGACAGAAAAGACCAGAGTAGAACACTGTACTAGGGCTTGAAATGACTGAGAACAGCTAAAACTGACCAGTCCTCCCCTCAGCAAGTACCAACCACAGGAGAGCGCTGAGAGGGCTGCAAGTGTCCTTAGCTGTTCGGACCTGCTCATCCAGCAACCTTTCCTGAAAGGAGGGAGTCTTTCTTCCAAAGTGAGCGGAGCCCGTCAGTTGTGCAGGAGTTCCTTTTATGCTCTCGCTCGGTCGTTCCCTTTATTTCGTCTCATCAGCCAGGCTGGGGTACCTGCCAAATGGCACGGGGTGGCCTTCCCAGCACAACTTCCTCCCGTTCACAGGCACATTGGTAAGTGTCCCAACGCCACGTCTTCACAACGCCGTCTCGCCCATGCAGACTTTGTAGGGTGATTTCAACTTCCTGCATCTAAAATGGACAACATCACGTGATGTTAATTAGAAAAATCTCAAACCACAGCAGCCCAGAAGGTGAACCTCACGGCCTAACTTGTTCAGGCAGCCCCGATGAAACCCACGATTCAGACCATGGCAGCATTTGACCCCACTGGCAGATGGCGAAGCACAAGTACAGAGTGTCAGCTCCTTTAAGATCACACTGCACAGCAGTACCAGGCAAGGACACACTCCCAGTGCCCTCGAAACTCTGCACACTGTTTCTTCCTGCCCACTTTAATTCAGATGTGTGTAATCAGAAGGTCACATATTGCCCGTACCTCTTTCTTACGTAGCAGTAGATGATGGCAAGTATCCCGCTGGTCAGTATTCCTACACCGATTCCCACCGCAATGTAGCGTTCGTAAGAGTTATGTGCATACGAGTTCAGTGTTAAATGTTCACACCTCTCTCCATTATAACCTGCGAGGCACCTACAAAACATACACCATGCAAAAATTATTCCGAGCTCGTAATGCTTTTTATTTCAGAGACACATGTTAGTTTTCATCAGTTTGAAACAATTTAGAACAAGTCTAAACGAGGATGGGCCGAACCTGGTGCTCAGTCAGAACCTCTTCACTCCATCAAGACTACCAGTTGCCCCAGTCTATCTAGTTTAAAGCTAACTCAAGCACTGCAGTTGCAGTAGCAAACGCAGTCTAAACATATCCTCATCACAGAGGGTGTGGACTGTGTGCTGCTCTGCTGCTATAACATCTCCAAAGGACAAAGCTGTCCAGCACAGACCCAGAAAATGTTAAGGACACCACAGTCCTGATCGGTGTGTAAGCAGTTGTGGAGTAAGGGAATGGCAGCTGACATGTTGGATGATCCTGCCCCCTTCATTGTGCCCATTATGAAAAAGCACTTATTTCTCTGCCACTCACTCTAGCACCAGTTGTGATGCGAGACGCCATCACGGCAGTGGCCTACAAAGCTGTGAACCCTCCCTCTCCCTTCTTTAGCAGTACACTAGCACAGCACTACTGCCTCAGTAACCGTCCTGAGCCACCACAGCTCTCCAGCCTGTGCCAAACTTCAAGCCTGCAAATACCTGACTGGCACTTCAGAGCTGTACTCTGCTGAAAACGAGTCAAATGACGTTAGTTAACATTTAGCTGACAAACAATGCTACTGTTGTTATTTTCTAAGAAGGAGACTTATAAGCAGAATTTTTTACTTGCATATGGGTTTCCTCAGTTCGCTGTGGAAAGCACAGAGCCCGTTGATACAGTAACTGTGGTGCTCTTCAAGACAGGTCTGCATAAGCTTCAAGAGTTTTGGCTTCTCTGTGTAGTCTACTGTAAAAGGGGAAAATGTCTCGTTATATTTAGGAAAAAAAACCACATTTGAATGGATTCTCACACCTCAAGTTGAACAGACATTGCCTGCAGAAGGCAGTACTTAGATTTATGGTGATATGTTTCATGAGCAGATTCAAACACTGCGAAGCAGAAGAAGCTTCTAATGCATTCCAGCATAGTTTAACAGAAAAAAAAACCCTGTAAATAAATTAATTGCTCTCGAGAAGCATGGATAAAAATGATTATGGGAGATTCATCCAGGGTAACATCAGCACTATCCAACCTGCGATCCAATCAGAAAAACCAGCCCAGGATTATCAGAGGTTTGGGACACAAAAAGAGCACTGAATTATTCTCAGAATGCTTACCACTCTGAATTCAAACTATTAGTTAATTCCTTTTTCCTTTTCTCCATCACAAGACAAACCACTGCCTTCCTAACACTCCCACCTGCCAGCTCTGCAGCTCCGAGTGAGGGATGACTGGTGGGACTGCTCCCTCCAGCCATTCTCCATGGTCTAAAGCTAGAAGAGTGTTCAACTATGCTTGTAATCACCCAAGACTGCCAAGTGAAGAGAAAGCTCAAAAGCTTCACCACCAAAGCAAGTATCTGTTTGAACTGGACTCTCTACTCACTTACAGGAATCACTGGTGGGGTGTCCAAGCAATGTCTTACTATTTCAGGGGACTGTGTGAGTGATGGGTGAAGGTGATTTCCTACCTGAGTGTATGTCAACACCACCTTTCAGCTACGACCACAAGAAAAATGACATCCCGCAGGAAGGTGACAAGGTCTGCTCAGAGTGACTAAACAACTGCTCTACTCTACACCTGCACGTTAGAGCAATTCACCACTTGAGTTGTGAATCACGTGGTACAGACACCTACGAGGCACGATGTCAGCAGCGTTACACAGATCAAACAACCCTACTTTGAAAACAGTGCCCTCTAAAACCTGAGAGAGTAATCAGGCTTCCAGTTTATCAAGAGACCTAAAGAGAACAACTAATAATTCAAGTCTGCTTGAAAAAGTACACGTTGCTTTACTACATTTTCTCAGGAAAATCCACAAAGGTGGAAAAAACATGTCTTGCTTTAGAATGAACTCCTCTGGGCTGAGAAAAGGGCATCTTTTCTCTTCTTGTTCGGAAAAACGACAAGTTTTTCTTCAAGCTGTAGAGACAGCAGACCTAAAGCTAGAAACGCAACACTAGAAACTACAAACCAAATCTGCAGTTTTGGCCTAGCAATGAAGGGACAACACACACACAGCGAAGGATGTGCCGAGCCCGAGGCTCCATCTCCGTCGGGCACTACGATGCAGCAGGGGAGCGCTGGCAGCTGCTCCCGGAGCGGATCTGCGCGTGGCATCACCGGGCAGTGAGCTCCACGCCACCACGGCCAGGCTGTCCTCACGCACCGAGACCAGAAGGGTATCTCTGCTGTAGAAGGCCCTGTCCAGCCTGGACCAAACACTCTGCGAGGGAGCGAGCTGGTGCTGGTGGCCCGTGGGCTCGAGTACCAAGCTCTGGCTTTTTTCGGGCTGGCTCCAGGAGCGCTGCTGGTGAGCTCTGGGGACGGGCTCGTTGGCTGAGAGCACAGTCAGCACAGGACCAGGCCTCGGAGGGACACATTTAAGGAATCACAGAATCGTCTGGTTGGAAGAGACCTTCAAGATCATCGAGTCCAACCATTCACCCTGCACTGTCAGGGTCCCTAAAGGGAGAAAAGAAGAAAAGAAGAACTTCCTCAAAGGAAGAAAAGAAGAACTTAAAAAGGACAGATTTCAGGAAGAAAAGACAGATTTTATGACAAGAGAGGGATGATACTGTTTTCTGTTCAGGAGGCCTGTACAAGGCTGTCAGGGAAAGCACAAGGGAAAACAAAGCACGTGGTACACAGCTGCAGGGCTCAGCATGCCAAGGAGACCCAGGATGAAGCAGACCTGCAAAAGCCCATTTCTACTTCGGCCTAACGTACCCGCGGACCAGCTACTGAAGCTCCGCAGGGAAGAGTCAGAAAATAGGTGACGACACGTTCACGCTTCCTCCGTGCCTCTTCTCAAACTCTTTGGCACCAACTGGTTAGAACCATCATTTCAGCTGAACCACAAAACTAAACGTAACCACTCAACAGGACCCTTCACCTCATGTTTCCTGCTGCCCAAAGAACTACTCTTCTACTGGGCCCCGAGGCGATGGCTACTGGGCAGGTTTAATATTTCACTTATATCTCTGCCATACAAGGGGAAAAAAATGAGTGAGGAAGGGAGAGATTTACAAGCCAGAGGCACGAGCTCCCCAGCCACCTCTACTCCGACTTCCAGCAGATGGATCCACGCAGCCAGAACATCCCTCCTCGTTCACGTCACCGTTGCTGAGAGGCAGCAGCCTTCCACCCACCAACACGTGGACGAAACCTCGCTTGGTGCAGGTAGGAGAAAGCTTTTCCCCTGAGTGCTGTGAAAATTAGTACTGTCATTAGAAAGAAAGGTCAGCCGAGAGCAGAAGCCTGCCTGGAAAGCGTTTGAGACAAACATCGTGCTGCGCAGGCAACCAACAACGCGTTCCTCCCTTGTTGTCAGGAGCAAGGGCTTTGTCCGTTGTGGGCTGCAAGATCAGATCTTAAACACGCACACAAAAACTCTGATTATTTGAGCATTGCAAAAGTACAAATTACCTCTGAAAGAACGATGAGCCTGGAAAACAAAAAGAACGATTTTCCTACCCATCCCAGAGCGTTATGCTAATTCATATCGTATTATCCACCTGGATACTACATAAGCTGTTGAATAAACACATCCATGTGCCCTTTCATGTCACGTGAGCAAAGACAAGCATGCTGCGTAAGCACCTGACAGTTGCCTGCAACTGAGTCACTCGAACAGCTACACTTGGCAAGATCTGACACGAAATCAGAACTGCAGGTACTTGGAAGCCTGGGCATGCCAAAACGGACAGACCGGCAACAGCGAGTCAGCCACTGAGCCCACGACAGCTCAGCCTGGTGCGCCGGGGAGGAACGGGAGAGTCGGAACGGGGAGGGAGGGAAGGGTCAGCCCCAGGTTCAGGGCCTCCCTTCCCAGCTGCATGGAAGCAGCAGCTGGTGGCAATGAAGGGATCTCATTTCTCGCCCAGTAAACCCAAGCCCTCATCTACTCCCAGCTGCCTATTTTGCAATGAAGGCTTCTCTTCAGCCCCAATGGCGCCAGAAGTTCTTTACCCCTGCTGCGCCAGCTCCCAGCCCGGCATCCTCTCCGTCACCTTCTTCCCCCACGGTGGATCACCGAGCCTGTTTCCTAGCCCCAGAACTTGTGACAAGTAAGGCCTATGTAACGTAAACTAAGGAAATACAACTTGCTCTTGTAATTGGGAGGCAAAGGGACTGAGCAGAAATTAATAGTTTTCCACAAACTGCACCTCAGTCCCCAGAGGACGTGCAATCCCATAAGAAAAACCCAGTTCCTCCAGTGATACTTAACCAGGAATTCATTTTCTTAGGATCCAGTATTACTGAACCTTAGTTATCAACTTCACTACAAACTTAACTTGCCCAAGAACAGGAGCTACAAGAAAACCTCAGAGAGCTACAGCCACTTGCTTTGGTGACTCTTTAGGCATTCCTTTCCAATTTGCTTTCTGGAAATGCTGTTTTCTTTCTTACCAGTGGCTTCGTAAAAGTCCACCAAAATATACTCTTAACCACCCACGTAAACGTGTCCTTGTATGTTTGTGAATCTGCTTCTGCCTTTGAAGGGAACACACTCTCAACCAAAAGCGCTGGTCAGTTAGCACAAAGGTACATGGGACAACTACAGACATGGCTGTGTCCATGTAAATACACCTCTTAGTTGTTAAAACATGATCCGTAACTCCTGCTTTCTAGAAATGATTCCAACAGGGTACTTAACGAGTCATAACATATTTCTACTTCATTATACTCCTGTTTGCTGTCTGTGGCTCTGGAAGAATTGTCACAGACAAATCCACTAAACCAGACCACAGTGCTGGGCTGATAAATCAAACTACTGCAGTCAAAAATCATCTTGAATTCACATACATACGTGTGTCTGTATATATATATATATGCTTGTGTGGAGAAACATATATATATAAATTACATATTTTATATACATATATATGAAAGCCACGAATGATATATGTACATAAGATATATGTACAGATGATGGTATATATAACACTGTACCACTATGACAAATCAGACATAAAAAAATCAAAACAGTTTGACTTGTTAGGAGAAAAACAGAGAGCTTCTGGATTTACTAAAAAAAAGCTTGTAAGGCATCTTGCGATGACTTACAATGAACAAAGAGGATTTGTGTGCATGTTTATGCTCTTTTTCAAGTACAAAGACATTACTAAGTATCACAGTTCAAACCCTTTTCTCCTTTACTGACCTGCCAAAACCTCAGCTGCAGATCGCACAGCTCTCCCAACGCAATGACATCACTAGCACCCGAAGGAACACCGAGAACGCAGCTGGCAGGATAAACACAGCGCTCCGCTCTCAGATGCTGGCAGGCAAAGAGCTCGAGTTCACATGTCAGGCAGACAAGAAAAAGCAGGAGAAGAGAGAGCCAGCGCGCTGCACAGGGCTGTGGAAGCTGCGAGAGCCCAAAGCAAAGCTGCAACAAAGAAAGAACCTCCTGAGCAACAGTAATAGCCTTGCTGCTTTCTCACTTGTGTGCACACCGAGGACAGCTGGAAACCGAGTGCTAGTTCAAAGTCACAGAAACAGCCATCAGAAACATGGACCATCTATCCCCACGAGCCTCAAAACATCTCCTTCAAATTCTAACTGCCTTTGGACAGACGATCCTTTAGCTGCTCAGCCCTGAGCCCAGCCTCGTGGCAGCTATCACTTCAGGGAGGTTTTGAAGGCTCCAGGAAGAAAGCAGCTCATCTCACAAGTAAAAGGCACGCAAAATCCCACAGTGCCCAAATGACAGGGGCGTTAGAGCACCTATCATCATCATAGATTTTGTGGGGTTAGTTTGTTTTGGGGTCATTTTGTTGTGTTGTGTTTGTTTGTTGTGGTTTTTTTTTTTTTTTAAGTGACAGAATAACAGAGACAAACAGAAAAAAAGGTACCTTCGGCGTTGTTTTTTGTCCAATTATTCCATAAGTCTGTGCTGAGGGATGAAACAGTAACGGCTGATTCTTCGCTCAGTGCCCCCATTGCTGTGTAATGCAAATAGATGCTTACTGTAACAGAAAAACTCAGAATACCCATTCAAGGTTCATTTCACCCAGAAAACAAGTACTCACTTTACACAATTCTGATAGGATGCAGCTAATTTAAAACATTCTTGCCTCAAACTTCCTTTTGCCACAGCACAATTGTGATGGCGGTGAAACAAACTATTGTTTGCAAATTTCCAAAATAAACATCCATTCTCTTCTCCATTGTATTATCTTACACAATTTACAACACAGATCCCTGTAACACACTACAATGTCACCCCTATTTACCAGTCTAAGAGGCTTCTTTTCAAAGAGACTTAATTCTAGTCTACCCATTAAAATCTCATCCAGGTTTAAAATCACTAAAGTAACTCTGCTCCGCAGCATCTCTGCGTGCATCCCACCCCTACCGCTTATTTCCGAAGGAACCGACTGTTGTCCAACAAAGCCGTGGATCTTAGGCCACCGAGAGCCTCCTCCAAACCTACCTTTCAGCAAAATATAGATTAGCATTCCAAATGCCATGGCAAGCAGCTGCTTTAACACCTTCTCTGCTCTTCTTCCCGGCTGGCTCGCTCTGCTTATCTGTCCTCCCGTGTTTTCTCTCGCACTTATACGCCACGGAGCGTCATCCGCTGTTCTCGCCAATCAAAAAAAGGTGCATCTGGCAACAACCTCAGCCCCCGGGGCAACCGCACATTTATTTAGGAAACTACTATTATCTAGCAATGGGATCAGGTTTTCTTTTGAAACTTGGGTTTCCTATTACCTGTGGGCATAATCGTGCATGCAAAGATACAGTTTTGAGGAGAGACCCGGTATCTGCCAGAGCAGATCGACGAAATGCAGCAGAGCAGAGGCGAGCAACATGAAAAATGACGTGTTGTGAAAAACGTGATCTTTCCTTCCCTTAGCAACGTAGGTCTGGTGGGACTTCCAGGAGGACTTTCAGCATCCAGGGTGCCACTGTGGAGTTCAGGGTCCAGGGACCAGCCCCTGCTTCGCTGCTGTTCCTTCCTCTGCCCTCCCTCCACCTCGCTTCCCTGCCACGCAGAAGAGGAACTGCGAGAACAGCCGGTGCCAAGACTGGGAAGCGATCAGACACAAAGATAACGGGTGAAGTTCTCCATCAGTGATTGCCAGCAAGAGGCCTTTGATCGTGAGCTCTGCCGAGCCCGAGGGGCATGCTAATCACTTTTTCTCCAGCCTTTCCGCGCGCACCCCACTGGGGAGCAAGGCAGGCCCCCAGCACAGTGCAGGGTTGGGATGACTGGCTGGAGCTACACGTGGTCGTGCGGGGCCGAAGACAAAAGCTGGCAAAGTACTGGTGCCCAGAAAACACGGAGCAAAAAGGCGTGCAAGCCGCTGCCTCCTATTTTAGGTGATCCCTTCCTTACTCCTGCCACGGCACTGCCACGAAAGCCCAGCTCTACCTTTCCAAGGATGCGAGTAGGCATAGTAAGAACAATCCTACTTTTTACAGACAGCATTCGTAGGTCTCTAAGACGTACCTGTCATGCACATTTCTTACACTAAACCACTCTCCACAGCCTCAAACGCTGTCCAACTTCCCTGGTCGCAGGCCGCTCGGAACCAGTAGGACCCGTCTCTCTGGAGGGTACGTACGTAGCCAAACGCACTGGGGCAGATCACCAGAAAGGCCCAGTTCAGTCATGGATGTACACATCAACAACCCGGCTCTCATCAAAGGAGAGCTGCACACTTCACCTCAGCAACAACTTCCTCTTTCTCAACTGTGAGCTCCAAACAACAAAGACATTGCACAAGTTTTATGTTTTAAAACCAAAAATCTGCTGATAAATGCTCCAATAACTGGTCAGCTCAAGTTCTCCCTCTACACTGCGCTCTCCTCAGTCATCTGTAGGATCAAATCTAACCACTTCACATGTTCAGGGAAAAACACAAGCTCGTTATGCACATTTTAATTATGCCTTCTCCTGCTCACGGACCGCATTCCAGGCTTTTCCTTTCCTTTGCCATCCTGAATTGCTGCATGCCTGCACACTGATCGAGTGCGGCTTACGCACTCCGCAGACCAAAAGGAGTGTTTATGGCTACCCGGATAACCTCTGCTATCAGTCCTGAGCAGGGCTGAGTCTCATGAGCCTTGCTTTCAACACGTCTACACAATGGGAGCTTAATCCGGCTTGAATCCCAGAGGTGACTTTGTCATTAGGCAACAGAGCTGGGTGCGGTAGGCCTGGGAGAAGGCTTTCGTGGATCAGGCCGTGCCTCTGTCCGCCACAGGGCGTTCGTGCTTGGCCCAGACTTGACCAGGTCTGGCACACAAGCATGCTTTTTGGGTTGGTTAGTAGGCCCTTCCCTCCGGACGCTCCTTCTGGATGTTCTCCCAGCGAAGAATACTCGCACAGATACACCTGGCAGCTCTGAAAATAGCACGTCGTTGAGTGAAACCTCAGTCTCACCGGCTTTTGTGTAACGCTGACCCATCCACCATGTGGTGGGTGAGAAGAGAAAAAGCTTAAGATGCACAATAAACTGTTTGCAGGACTTGGAAGGGGCAGACTCACTCAAGTGACATAAGTAAACCGCCATAAATTACTATTCTGCAAAAAAACGCAGAGATGATTATAGTTGAGCCGAAGAAAACAAACATACTAAAACAGCAATGTCAACAGACGGACAAAAGTAATGACTACATGCAGAAGACCTCAATTGCCTCCACTTTTAACACATTGATTAAAAATCCAACACAGCCAGCTCCAAAACCCTATTAAAATCTTTCATCAAGACTAACAGAACTGAAGGAGTTTTATTCCATCTTAGCCGATGATGGGTTGATCAGTCTACGTATTATCTCCCTGATTCTCCTAACATTTATGCTACAGCTTGGTACTATATATTTAGTAATAATTCTCTCCACCTCTTTTGTCAACACTGCATTAAACACAACTCTCAAAGTCGACCGTAAGAACAACTGGCACAGGAGTGATGATCCATCTTGGTTTTTTTATTACAGCAAGCGCATTTTTTTGTTTAACGGCAGTACTCTTTGGCCACGTTGTTTTTTCTTCTTCGCTTTTCGAGTTGTTTATAGTCTACTGGCAAACACCTAAGGCTCTTGATGAAAAAAAAAATCAAAGTTATCCCAATTGAGATAAAAACACGAAGAGAAAGTCCAGACTGGCTCCCACTGCCTTCAGTGGGAACTGGGGTTGGCTCTTCACGTCAACAGTTCAACTGGCATCTCAGCAGAAACTCTGCTCCAACTACTACATCGCACCAGACTATTCTAGACCTATCTTGGAACTAAAATTGTTGGGAACAGAAACATACAGATCTTCTTATCCCATATAGCCCTCTCTAAGCAACAAAACATTGCAGCCAAGGATTCACGGGGCTGCGCCTGACATCATGGACTGAAAAAAACACCTTTTGGGCAGTTTCAGAAAAAAAAAAAAGAGTAATTAAATGGCTTAAAATTCTAACACAAAGATTTAACCAGGAATGAACTTCTGCTTTTCTCTTCCTCTTCTCCCCCTCCCTTACACATAATGTACATACGTATAGTTTTAACTACATTCTACCTAGTTCAAGCCTGATCTAGCCAAGTCATCTATTCAGAGGTTTTGTGGGATGAGGGTATTATGCACCAAAACATTTTGTCAAACAAATCCAGACATGGAAAAAAAAAATACTTCTGGCCTCAATTCCAGCTACGTTTTCATTCACACCTCATGCATGCATTTAAGGTCAGAATCTCACCAGCATTCAAGTTTACTTGACTATTTTAAAACAGGTACTGAACATCTGCATTCATGTCAGCATTACTCCCTGGCAGCTGCAACAAAAAATTTCCGTCTTGTACTCTTTTCATATTCAAGATTCCTGCAGCAATCTCTACGTGTTTAAAAAAAAGTATTTTTCAAGACTTCAAACTACATCCAGAGAGCTTCGTGACCTCAGAACCCCAATCATATTTTTAGAAGTTATCTGGCATGTTGAAACCTAATCGTTATACTGTCTGATCAAAACTGAGGATCTCAAGCGCTTAAAACATTTCAGTGATTGCACCCCATCCCCAGACACACAGTAAATTCATAATTTCACGCTTCGTTCTTCACGTTGACACACATCATTGACCACCACCAAGGTATCTGCACAGGCTGCATCTTCCGATTCGTTTTTGCTCACAGTAAGTCAGTAGGAGGTAACGCAAAGTGTTTTAACATTTTGTAAACCATCGGGTTCAGTGTACTCCACATGAAATAAATAAATGCAATGTAGAAATAAATATCTTTGTAGTAAAAAATAAATGTTTTGTGTATCAATAAATAGAACAACTTCGATTCTTCTTCCAAGGTAGCCCGCTTGCTCTAGTAAATGAGCTTTTTAGCAACTATGAGCGTGTTCTTCAGAAGCATTGCAACAGTCATAGGTCCCACCCCTCCTGGCACTGGAGTGATAAAGCCAGCCTTCTTCTTCACTTCTAAGAGAAAAGAGAAAAAGGTATTGCTAAGAATGTTTCCAAAACCATTTTTTTCCCCCCCATTTGCCCACATGCGCCTAACTGGTAACGAGCATAAAGGACTGCGACTTGGCAAGTACTGGAGAATATGGGAAAAGGTAGGGCAGAAGTCTTATTCCAGCCATGGCAGTGACAGACCACAGTCAGGACTGGGGCTGCAAGGTAGTTTTCTTCATCTGAATATTATTATCAGCTCGGGCACAGCTCTGGGGCATAGTTTCACAACCTGTTCGAGCTGATCTACCTGCAGCAGGCTGCCCTTTCCTCATGGGAGCAAAACACAGAGTCTGTGGCTGGACAGATGGTAACTTAATCCTGCCAAATTTTGTCAGCCAGGGGCAGTTTTGGACTGTTTGACCTGGCTGACCGGCCGGCCCAGGAATGTTCAAGCGAGACGAGGGCAGGACGATCCCAGGAGGGCAGCACGGATGTGATCTGCCAACTGTGATCCCGCAGCTTCCATACCCAGGAGAGCGCTGGCAGCTGCCGAGCTCGCTCCGTAGGCTGCGAGATGAACCCCCCACCCGTGAGGGCGGAGGAGCCGCAGGAGTCTGCTCTAACCACCAAAATCGACAGCAGAGCCCAGCAGCAGCTGAGTCACCTGGTCAGCCTCTTGTCCTGGCTCTGGCTTGCACCTTCTAACAAAGGCACTCTACCATCTCCAAAGGGAACTTGAATCCGAAAAAGAGAAAATACAGCTCCCTGGTTGATTTGTTTTGCTGCTTCACAACACGGACAAAAACAAAAACTAAAGTTGTCTTCAAGGAAAAATAGATTCCAGTGGCAAAATTCCCATTGCAACTTCAGCCATAAACACTCAGCTCCTCCAGAAAAAGTTGTTTTTTGGTGTGGCGGGTGTTTTGTGTGGGTTTTTTTTGTGTTTCATTTTAAACCAGTGCTACTGGCATGCCTGTACTGGACTAAGATCTGAAGGTGCAGATCTTGCTGAAGTACCGAACAGAAAGCAGGCTCTGACAGCTGAGTTAGCTGCAGCCACGAACCACGTCAGACCATC